GTTTGGAAATCAAATCAACCTTCAACCACCAAGCACGCTCACAAATCCTCAAAGGAAAATTGGTACCGTCACCATTCTCAAGGACACTCTCTCGTGCCCCACCTAGTCGAGTCAACCACCCTGTCTCTGGCAAGGCATAGCAGCTGATCACATTCAACTTGATTCGAGCTACCACTACTCGCTGCTTGACTACTGGGGTCTTACCTACCTTCAACTCAAGATCTACCATCCCTGCAGTGGGAAGAATATGATCCCCTGCACCTCTCAGGATTGGAGCTGAACCTGGGTACCAATGCTTCACCTTGTAAAGCTTCAACCATTCCTCAGCAACAATGTGACAAGTGGCACCTGAATCTACAAGCCAATGGGTCTTGAGATCCTTTCCCAACCTACCTGCTCAGTGCTCGAACTCGCCGGGACAGCACTTGAAGCCTCTCCAGACCCTGACCTGACAACCATGGCCGCTTGGCCCTCCTCAGTCTCAGGTTCTTCAAGGTCAAATTCTTCCCACTCAGCCTCTTCCCAGTCACCTTCGTCACCCTCAACCTCACGCAGCTTGCCTTTCTTTCCTTTGCCCTTGCCCTTGCTCTTGCCTTTCCCCTTACCTTTCCCCTTGGAAGGAAAAGGCTTCTTTCCAGTGTCTGCTCCAGTGTCCTTGGTGTTCTTGGATGGTCTCTTGTCAGGATGCTTCTCCCAACAATCTGAGGCCACATGGCCGCTCTTCCCACAGTGTTTGCAGCGCTTTGGTTTGGGGCACTCTGATTGCATATGACCAAGGTCTCCGCAGTTGAAACAACCCTTGCTTCGAATGGGAGAACCTTGAACAGCATGTGCCCTCTCCATGGGTCCAGTTGCACGACTGCGAATGTAATACTCTGTCACTGCTCGCCAAAGCTGCTGGACAGTCCCTGCACCGCTGATGAGTTGCACATGTTCAGCTACCTTTTCAGGCAAATCCCTCAAATACAACAAAAACTGATCCCCCTCATTGATCCTCATATCAACCAATGCTCTGGCCATCACACTTGCCTCAAGCATGCTGTGAAATGATTCGATCTCTGTCTGAATCTCACGAAGAACATCAATCAAGCCATCAATTGAAGGTTTCTTGACAGTGAACTTCAAAACAAGCTCTCTGTAGTAAAGGGCCGCCTGCCTACTGCAAATTGGGGACTCACGTCGAGTCGAATCAATCTGAAAAGCTCGTAGCCATTGGCATCAGCTGCCCCTCGGGCCATGATTTGATTTCTGATCATCCCTGAGCTCCTGGTCTGCTACTAGCAAGACTATGGGCTCTTCCATACGGAGTGCCTCTCTCAGTTCTGGGCCGTATTGATCGTGAATGAGGCACAGCCAACCTCCAAGCTTCTCTGCCCAATCTCTGAACCCTGACAGTTCTCGAGACCTGCTTACCCACTGTTTGTACGAGGGTAGGCTGGTATCCACTTGGTGTCCATTGTAAGTCGTTCACGTTCTTGGATTCCAACATGTGGTTGCTGGGGTTGCTGTTGCTGTTGCTGGTTTCCTCTCCTCATAACATCAATCAAAGTCTGTCCCAATTGCAACTGCTGGGCCACAACTGGATCTACTCCCTGAGCAGGTGGGGGTTGAGGTGGTGGAATGTTCCAGTCCCAGTTGTGTGGAAGTCCATAGGTTGCACCTTGTCCCTGTCCAAACCCTCCATCACCTGAAAGACCTTGAGAAGACCTACCACCATCTCCTGATTGACCTGCAGTCACCCCATCTCCAGAATGGCCTGAAAAATCTCTATAAGGCTGACTCATTGGATTCAAAGAACGAACTGCTGTTGTTGTCGGTCCATACTGAGCCCACAACGCCTGAGTCACATCTCGCTGGCTTCCAGGACCAGAATGCCAACACTGCCAAGGATCTCTCGCTTGCAAAGGGTGAAGACTGACATGCATACGGTGGTCCAACACTCAAAACAGGTGCATTCGCCAAAGAAGAAACCAAAGACGAACTAGGAACCACACTTGTATGATCTTGACCATTGGAAACATCTGAGGTCCAGGGCTCACTCCATGAGGACTGGAGGCTTCAGCCGGTGGTCCAAGCGTCACAGCTGGACTCGTTGGAGTCGTATTCTCCATGGCTCACAAAAACGGCTCAGAGAAAACCCTACAAACAGTTCTCCTTTCTCACAAAGCGTCTGCCCCTCACCCTCAGGATCCTCGGGGCTCCGCTACCGAAAAACGGAAGCAGTGGCGTTCCCTTTTTGAACCCCGCTCTTGAGCCAAACGTTACAGTCGGTTTGACTGTTCATCATCCACTCTTCTTCTGAAGAGGTCTGACTGGTCACAGTCGTCCAACACATACTCAAGTGCAAGAAAGCATCTCAAAACACTCTCAAGCAAACCTTCGCTGCACACAGCTCATCTCAAGCAATACAGCTCTCCACATAGGGCTTCTCTAGACATGCTCCCAGCCACTTCTGGTCTCACCCACCTGGTCCCTAGTTGGTTGTTTTGTTTGCTGTTTGGTTCTGGAGTTTGCTGGTGGTTTTCCTTGGTTTTCACAACCTGGAGCTGTGTTGGGATCTTCCTCCTTGGAGTGTGTTCTCTTTGACCCCAGTGGTCATGCAGCGAGCATCGAAAAAGATGTATTGGGAACACAGTCCGTCTGAAAGCAACTGGGCTGACGCAATTTCAAGGCTGGGTTTGTCTGATCGTGGTGGCGAACCAACAGATTCACCCTTCCGTAGCCTTTGGCTCAAGTTTTCGGTTCAAACTCATCGCAGCTTGCAATAGCGCGCATTGTTGATGAGTCAACCCTTCATCTCTCCGCTAGGATTTCCCGCAATGGATGGGCTTTTGGACCGTCCTTTGCTTTCTTGGAATGGCTCGCGCGTACTCCAGTGTCGCAAGTAGGCGCGGTCCCGAGATTTGCAGTCTTGCGCTGGGCTTTAGGAGAAGACGCTGACCTTTGGCTGCCGCTGCGTGGACAAGTCAGTCGTACCTCTCCATGCGTTTGGTGTGGCGGAAACACAAGGAACTTTCCCGCAGGACCTGCTCGAGGTGCGTTGTGCTTCACCTGCATCGGCACTGACCTGTGGGCCTTCTCTAATTTGACTGAAGACTCCATCAGATTTGCCAATCACCACTCCCTCACCTCAATTGTACAAGCACCATCTCATACACCAATCACAGAAAAGCTATTGACATCTGAAGGACCACTCAGTTCCTTGTCTCTCGCCCCATGTCTTTTGTGTCAGACAGGCGCAAATGGCATCGATCACTGGCTCTCCTACTGCCCCGTTACGTACCTCGCATGGTATGCCCTATGGAAGGGTACTGCACCCCTCATCAGCTGGCGTCATGTTCCACAGAAGCAAGTTGGTGTAGCGCTCTGTTATCTTCTGTTCCACCTTCGCAGGCTAGTAGCAGAACATGGAGGGCTCCAGCCTGTAATTGTATGCGCGAAAGTCCGCTCCATTTCACACCATGCCATGGACTTATGGCAGAGAACCTATCGGTCGCTCCCTGCTACTATGCTGCATTACTTTCGGGCACCACCATTGCAAGCTGACCTTCCGTGCACGCACACCGTTCACATCCGTATACAACGTTTCCCCCAGACCCAGCTTGAATCAGCACTCCTCCCCGACAAAGGGCTCTGCACTAGCTGATGTACGACTACGGCTTCTTCTTACTCAATACACTAGAATGCCTTTTCCTGTTGCCACAGCTACTCTTCTTCCTTTTACATGTCAATGCGGCGCCACCCATCTCAAGCTTCAGGCCACTGACGACATTCCTGACAACGCTATCCTTCTCCTTGGAGAACCCACCTCTTGGCAGGGCTGTCTAGTGCAGTTTGATGGCTCGGCCCATAAACGTACTAAAGCGGGAGGAGCCGGAGTAAGCTTACTTCAGGTCACGCAAGAATCCACAGTCTTGGTTCGATGGAAATCTGTACCGCTAGTCAATTGTACCGACAATGTTGTTGCGGAGGCTCATGCGTGCCTTGCTGCCATACAGCTTGCAACAACTTACCATTTGGAATGCCTCCAACAAGGAGTAGCGCAGGATGGTTTCGTTATCCAAGGTGATATTCTTCCGCTTCTAAACTATCTACAAAGGCGAGGTCGTATTAAGCGAGCAGAGGTTGTCCGGATCCTTGAAGAATGTCAACAGTTACTCTCTCGTTAAGTCTTCGTCCTTGGGCCGCCTACGCTCACTAGTTACCGAGTACGAAACGAGTTCATCGATCGACCGTGAAGTTCACTCCCTCGCACTTTTTCCGCTTAACGGACGTGGGGAGTATTGTCTCTACGAACAGCATCGAACATGCGCATATCTGGTTTGCAATTTGCTCCTGGCATCACGCAAGCTCGAAAGAAGGAATCGGTTTCACAAGTCCAAAGCTACGACTTCCCCCCTAGGGAATCGAGTTCAAGAACTGTACTGCAGTGACTCCAACCAGAGGTCAAGATGTTGGAAGTGATGCTCAAAGCTGGCCTGGGAGGGAAGAGGAGGGTGAGGCCAGCAAAATTTCATGCTGTTCCCACCTCGACCCACCCGGCTGCAGCGGAAGTATAAGATGAACCATCTGATCGAACAAACATGAAGCACACAAGGTTTACAACAGCAAACATGCATTATTCAAAGAATGTCACATCGAACACAAGGTTACAGCTTAAGAAATTTTCACGGGTATTTTCTTTGCGGCGAAGGCTGAAAAATTTTCTGCGCAAATTTTTCCCCAAGGCTTCTTACTTAAGGCGCTATCACAGGTGACCGCTTGCTTAAGTCTTCGTCCTTGGGCCGCCTACGCTCACTAGTTACCGAGTACGAAACGAGTTCATCGATCGACCGTGAAGTTCACTCCCTCGCACTTTTTCCGCTTAACGGACGTGGGGAGTATTGTCTCTACGAACAGCATCGAACATGTGCATATCTGGTTTGCAATTTGCTCCTGGCGTCACGCAAGCTCGAAAGAAGGAATCGGTTTCACAAGTCCAAAGCTACGACTTCCCCCCTTTAACCGAACTTGTTTGCGGCGGCCTTACCAAGGATACCATGGAGACACTCTCGCACAAGATCAGGAGCTATTTGGATATGTGCGAACTTCTGGCTTCCCTTCCGGGATGGTTCATCGGATGGGTTTGAGCTAGAGGGAACTCGGGCTATCCACGGGGTTATACTTAAGCTGTCCTCTACCTGAAGCAACACTCCTACCAGTGCATCAGCAGGTGAAGACCGGCCACGTCCCGAGATGGCGACATCTCTAGCTGAGTTATTGTCGACGAAGATCAGGCAAGGGCAACTACCAACCACGTCTCCCCAAAGAGTTATGGCTACTATGATGGCCACAAGCTCAGCTTCGAAGATGACGGTCTTCTTGCCAGGGTACCCCAAGGCCGCCAGCTCGGCAGCAGCTAATCCTAACGAAAAGGCTGAGACCTCATTACCCTCATCATCATACAGCACACCGCCTACGCCGCATGGCCATTCACTGTCATTCGGCTGGAAGGAAGCATCAGTAAAGATGAACCACTGGCGACCTGACTCTTTACCTATTCGTCTGGGCTTGGGATCCTCGAGGCTAATTAAGAAGTGTTTAAGGGCAGTTATCGTTTGCGGCTTCAGGACCCAGTCACTGTCCCCATGGGCATGAGCTGAGACCGCACTCAAACACAACTTACTGGACCTTCCCCAAATCTGCGCACTAGCGAACTGCATTCTCCCACGAAGTGACATCGCCTGAGCACGAGACATTCCACCTTTATCCAAGATGCCCGTAATAGTTTCTGTCAGCTCATCGATCCTCTTCTTCGTGTTGGAAATCGAGACCACACCTGAGGGAACTTCACTAAACGAAATTTGAACACCGAGAGCTTTGAAAACATTGTCGAAGGGGGAGTCCTTATCACCACTCGATACCGCCCAGCCTAAAAGGTCGAAAAATTTTCGGACGAGTCCTTCAAGCACCTCAGCCTCACCCTTCCGAGCGATAGTCACGAAATCGTCAAAGAAGGATGTCCAGCACAAGTGCAGAGCCTTGCATCCAAGATACCAAATAGAGTGAGCGACGCGGAGAAACCCATAAACACTACTAGTAGCCCCAAACGGCAGTGCCAACATCTGAAAGATTTCGGGCTTCCTGCTGTGCGGGTTAAAGCACACCACATATGCTGCCCAAAGGCTCTCCTCTGCGACGGCGAGCTGCCTATAGGCTGCTGACAAGTCAACCGTTTTTCCAACCCAAGCAAAGCCCCGTCCCCTGCACACCACTCGCAAGAGCATGGCAGCCACAACATCCAAGGTGTGAAGGGACGGTGTCGTTTCAGCCTGAGTGGTCAAGTTAACACAGCTACCACTGAAATCATCGATCAACCTGACCTTTGGACCTTGCTTCAACCCGAATCTCCGGCTGACCACCGCGTGCTGTGGCAACGTGTCCAGGCGATACGGGCCTCTCAGCCACCCTGAAGATCTCTCCTCGCACGTCTTGCGATACACCTCAAAGTCAACAAAGTCATCGCCACTTCCCTTAACACTATGCACCACTGCTTCCCTAGCTGCTTTTGCCCCAATCTTCAACTCGCCTTCTGTGAGGGATGCTGGCTTGAAAACACGCTCGAACATGGGCACGGGGGGAATGGGCCCCGTCAGCTTAGTCCCAACGCAAAGTTCATCAACTACTCCAAGATCAGGGTAACCGTACTTAACAAGCAGGGCTTTCCACAGGGCAATCCTCTTTGGGGCAAGGATTGATTGAGCATGTGGGGAAATTTTACTGTGGATATCTCTATCTTCAGCTAGAAGCGACCGGGCTAGAATTACCCACTCCTTAAGGACCTTTAGCCTATCTGCATTCAAGCTTTTTGATGAGCACCTGACCGTTTTCTCGACTGCCTCCGCAAGCACCGTCGGAAGGAAGTTCTGGAGCCTCGTTGGGTGGCCCTTCACCACTGCCTCACTTACGAAAGCTTCCGGGCTACGAAAAATTCCAAAGGCAAAGGAAGAATCACTCGACTCCGAATTACCCCCATTTAACCGAATTGGCTGGTGTTTGAGTAGTTTGGCACCGGCCGGGATGCCATGCCAAGGCTCATTCAAAGTTGCACCAGGCTCGATCGGCGGCTTGTCTGCCGTGTGCGGCACGTGTCGAACCTCTGAAAACTCAGACAAGACCGGTGCCAACTTTGAAGCTCTCGGCTGAAGGCCGACCACTGCACGAAGGTAGGCGTATTGGACCCGACTAGGTGGTGTCAAGGTCCCTGCCGGTGGTTGCCAACCCCGTGTGACAGCCTCCTGCGCAAAAGCATGCGCAATCTCATACGCCAGCTGCAAGGGGTACGCTGTCTCCTTGCTAGTGGCGAAGCCTGAAGTGGTAAGACCCCAGGATTCATGGCGATGCTTTTTTGAGATACCTGGACAACACTTATTTATCTTATTAAAGGCTGAGCAATTGTGTGCAAGGACGGTCCACTTTGGACGTGTGGATCCGTATGCACAGGCTTGATGCGCTGTAAACATGAGCTTGTCTGCCAATGGCTGGAAGAACGAAGTCAGCCAGTAAAAGCTTCTCCGAGGATTCTCTATGACCACAACAAGTTCACGTCGAATGCATTCGTTTGCAACCTCAGTTATAAAGTGATACAGCCTATTTGCTGAAGAGACTCTGCACCTATCTGTCCACCTAAGATTAACCAGCCCGTCTGGATGAAGTTCGTCTCGAAGTGGTTTTGGACCTGGGACGAATCGACCTGGGCTTATCTTAAGAGGGATGGACCGAGCTCTACTGCTAGTTCCGCACGGGGGTGCTGCAAACACTCCCATACAGGCACTGCATAACTAGCGCTTTGCCCGCCTTCTTGGTCAAATCAGCCAACATGATGCGACCACAATTTCGGCCTCTTATGTGATCTACACCAAATGAGTCAACCAAACCTATAGCTCTTGCGCAACTCGTCACCCTCGCTGATCCTGCACAAAGTTCAATGATGAAAGGTTTCTCTGGAAAACTATTTGATCGATGCGGCTCAAGCAAAACTGGAGTCCTATGCGGCTCAAGCAAAACAGGAGAACTGGTTTCGTTTGTTTGCGTCTTGCAATTGGGACCTAAAGCACTGGGATCCAATCGATGTTCAGCGCCCTGTCCATGACTAATCTTGCGCTCTTTCGAACGGCTTGAATTCTCTAAAGCCTCAACAGGGCTTTCCTCCACTGATCTTTTGCCTAGTCAGGCCGAGTCGTGATCCTTGAGGGAGTGCGGGCCATAGCACTTGGCGCACACATGCAATCCCTTCTGACACTCTGCACCATCAGCTCCAAGAGAACACTTGCCTAAGCTGAAGTCAAAGCAGATGCGTTTTCCGGCTGGTGTTGTAGCCGTGCCTCCAAGTTCACGAATCTGAGCGGGAATCCGGGGTTCCCATTTTGACTTGCCTTTTCCTTTCTGATACGGACTGAACCATTGGCCTTTCGGACGATGTTGCCACTTTCCCTTGCCACTGCCTTTCTGGTCATAGCTCTTACCTCCACCAGGCTTGTCATGACTTGAAGCACGATCTTTGGGTTCCTGCTTGGACTTTAATGGCAATGGGATCAAAGAGAACGAAACTTCATAAGAAGTGAGAGCTGTCATCAACTGCTGGTCTAATGGCCTTGTCCCTGTGGCATCTCTCTTTGGCTTTACGTTCAACTCAATCACCCGCCTCCATGCCTCCTTGTCTGCGTTCACCAATTGGGAGACTGTGCACCGTTGGTAACCAGGAGGCGGCTCTCGGTGCAGATGAGCAAAGAGTGCTTGAACATATTTATCATGCTCCAAAAACCCCATGCAATCACCAAACTCCAAAGCAATGCCCCTACGCTTCAAGGCCTCCAAGACCTGCAAAGAGGTGTGAGCCGGCGCCTCAATCTTTTCGTCCTTGTCTTTGATGATGATCTTGTTCGCCTCGATGTCAAGCATGCGGTCAGGGGCCTTCAAGTTCGTGAGTTCATGAACCCTTGACACACAACGCTCAGGAGGCAAGTACTTCAATTGATTCTTATCCACCATACTCATCACGGAGTCTAACAATGTGTGCCCGGGCTCCATTTGACCGCTGATCAAGACTCCTGACAAGCGCTGCTGCAACAAGTTCATGCGCGACTCTCTCTCTCTGCTTGGGGGATCTTCCGAGTGGTCGTCTCCGGCGCCGTAACCTGATCTCGTAGGATAGCAAGAAGTTGAGTCTGACTCTCAAAAACCAATCTTCTCAAATTTGCCACACCTCCCAAAGAAGCCCTTGGCTCAAGTGTCCGGGCCCAAGCAGCAAAGGCTTCATGATCAATCGCCTGGCCAGGATGCCCGAAGCTATATGCCAAGGTCGCCAAGGACGTGATGCCATTTCCTTTCAAAGCATCACGGAGATTATCTGGAATCTTGCACTCAGCGATTCTGAGGTCGAACTGAGCCTCGCTATCAAGAAGAAGAGCCATCACAATCACAGTCCTATGGAAAAGTCAGTGCACTAATCCTGCAAAGAAAAATTCAACTGACAGTGAAGCAATGAAGAGTTGAGAAAAGATTCAACAGCCGAACCATGGGTTTTCAATTTGATTGACACTCATGACATGAACACCACGAAACACACACACATCTCTTGAACCTCAGCACGCATGGCCGAATACAAATTTCGGAATCGCATGACCCCCATAAAGGGGGGGGGTTAGGCCCCCACGACCAACCAAAACACCCCAAAAGGGGGGGGGGTTTGGCCACTAGCAGAGGTAGGTAGCTAGAGAGGTAGACCCCCACCCCCCTATAGTCAACTTTCTCACTGCTACACCGCAAGCCTACACCGGCTTAATCTCAATTCAACACAGCTTCACCGCTCTGCCACGCGTGGGCGACTTTTTAACACATCCACATTGGTTCATAAGGCCTGCATAGGCCGGTCATGAAGGCTTCCTCTTCAAGCACATTTTGCACATCACGTTCCAAGCTGTTGCTTCGGTGGACAATGAATATGCCTCTGTCAACCGTTTCCCGCATGCCAAGTAACGATACGTGAGGCCATCTGCATTCTCATTGAAGAGGTGGAGGATATGAGATTTCCTGTGGGCATACCATGCCTCGTCTCTCGGCACCTTTGGTCGGAACCTCTTCACCTTCATGGGTGGCTCCTCGCAACACGAGGAATCTGATGAAGAACCTGCATCACTGGATGAACTCTCTGAGCTGGTGTCGTCATCAATGACTATTAGCTCAGGCTCCCCACAACCCTCGTCGAAACCGCCATCTGACTCAATAGTCTCTGCCTTAGTGTTTAATCGACCCTCAAGCACAGGCACAACGGGACCTCCGCTCTCTGGCTCAAGCGCCGGATCCCTCCTGGTGAAATAAGCGCTGCGGGGAGCATCCGGATTGAAGTTCCCTTTGAAGATCTCATCAATGACTTCCTGCAATTCGCGGGTCGGGGCAACACACAAATCCCTAGAGCAAAAGGCGTACGCGCCAGTCGTGGCACTAGCATGCCTTCCAAGGATTGATCGAGTCTGCTCCGATAGGCCATACTTTGCAGCCCACGACAACAGAGTTGCTTTGGCCGAATGCGAAGACACGACAGGCATCGAATCGGCTGGCTGAACTGAGGTCGCACCTATAAGCATTCTCAAGAACGTGGATGCTTCACTCGACGTCATCGGACGCTTGCAAAAGGTCTCATGTCCCAAGCATGGTGCAGGAAACAGTGGCCCTTCAATCCTACCGTCAAGTGAAAGCTCCAAGTTCGAAAAGACTTCGGTTGCGGCCCCCATCCAACTTGTCCCATTCACACCCCGAGCAGGAATGAGGATTGGCATCAATTGAGTCCGTCTCTCAGCTGACTTCCCGGTCTTATGATGCGCCGACTTGATTTCAAGAAACCCGCCTTCTTCACCAAAGTCGGGAATGACCGAGTGCACTTTCGTCAAATCGCTGTGGCGGCACCGCCCATACAGTGCAATCAAGAAATATATGGCGGCTCCACGATCAACCAAGTTCACATTCGAATCACTTGCGATCTCATGCAACTTACGAACTTGCAAAACGGTCAAAGGGAGCGCTTGCTTCAAGACTCTCTTGTTTGCATGCAACTGATCACTGAGGCCAACCACACGTCTGCTCTTAGTGACTTCACTGAGAGATTCAAACCCTAAGACATGAAGTGCAAACCTAAAGGCTGACATGCACGACGATGCACGGGTTGCAGGTGCTCCCAACTCTTTCAAGTCCTGGAAGTAACGCCATGCAATTTCCTCAGTGAATGGATTTGCCTCCGTGATTTTTGACTTTGCACACCACCTGAGAAAGGAAAGCAACGAGTTCGCTCTCTTCACGATCGTGTAAGGAGATCTGAGGCCTACGACGGCATCGACAATTTCCTTAGCACCTTCAAGTTGCCGGTCTTCCGAACCCAGTGAAATGATCTGTCTACCAACCACACTGGCCAAGAAGCAATGACGAAGAACAATCAAGACTTTGTTAACTGCGGCATCCATGAGTGCATCATGCTGCTCATCATACGTCTTATCATCAAGATTACGAATAGCAGCTACAAAAATGACAGTTCTTTCACAAGTGCTTGTTTGTGTGAGTGTGTCGTCAACTACGGCCTCCACTGCATGATCCAAGGGCAAACTCATCCACTCTGAGACACTGACCGATGGAACGACTGGATTCGATTTGAACGGATCACCAAAGATCTGCTGTGCAATTTCCGTTTCCCATGGCATCTTTATGTCACAAAATTTAGCACTTGACACAAAAGCATTATCGAAAAAAGCACGATTCGAACTGTTCGGCAGTGTCAACTCGTTCCGTGAGCCCTCAAAAGATGCACCTGACGGATTACAAGCTGAAGCGGCAGAGCTGGCCTCTCGGCCCGGAGAATCTTCCCTCGTGAGAAGTGATTCCTGGGGGTCCAAACCAAACTCGAAATCCTGATCAAGAGGGGCCGAAAAAGCACAAGAAGAAACTGCATCATGTTCAACATCTCCTGCGTGATCCTCTGAAAGATCTATGGGCTCAAGCTCCTCGGGGTTCATGGCACCGGTGGCCCAAAGGCCACAGCGCCCCCCCCGCTACGAGCCGCCCATCTAAGATCACCTGAGAACCCCCCAGTGAGGCCAGCAAAATTTCATGCTGTTCCCACCTCGACCCACCCGGCTGCAGCGGAAGTATAAGATGAACCATCTGATCGAACAAACATGAAGCACACAAGGTTTACAACAGCAAACATGCATTATTCAAAGAATGTCACATCGAACACAAGGTTACAGCTTAAGAAATTTTCACGGGTATTTTCTTTGCGGCGAAGGCTGAAAATTTTTCTGCGCAAATTTTTCCCCAAGGCTTCTTACTTAAGGCGCTATCACAGGTGACCGCTTGCAGCTCCGTTTATCTTTCGATTGGTGTATCTCCCCAGGGAATGCAACAAGCTTGCTGATCACTTTGCCGGTCTTGCTAGTGCAAGAGCGCAAAAAGTTGCTGACCAACCCCTAGCAGTTGCCTGTCATAGAGCCCCGCCTCCGTATCATCTAGCGCAAAAGCTAGGTTTTGTAATTGAGCACGGCGTTTTACAGTCAGAACCTGCCTTCGTCCTTACTGAATGCCCGGCAGCTGCACCGGACATGCTCGCGACCTTGTTGCGACAATCAGAGCGCAATAGACAGGCCATTCAAGATTATTTGACTACTGCGGGCAACCACCATCGTGACGTTGTAGTTGGCTACAAACCCTCTTCTCCAGATGGCCTTGGCCGTTACTATGCGGTCGGATATGCAGCGCAGAGATTGCCTCGTGAGGTACGCCTACTACTCTTTGGGGCTGATCATTATGAACTCGATATTAGCGGGGCCCACTATGAGCTTACTCGAAGACTTTGTGCCCTCGCGGGTGTACATCGCTGCCTACGGCCCATTCATCAAACTCGTACCTGGCTGCGGGAAGTACTCACCCCCTTGGAAGGACTAGCGGATCCACCTGCGGTGGACACTCTCATTAAACGCTGGCGGCATTGGGGGCTGCAGATGGAGTAGGCAAGGGCTTCTTGCGGCGTTTCACTGTTGATGACAATCAGGGGCAGCAACAGCACGCTTTGCTCACGAACTTCATGCTGCTAGTCGCTACGTTATTCACCACCCACCTGTTTGGTGCCTGGCTCGGCATGTTGAGCGGAGTAGGGCAGCCCCTTTTCGCTTTTTTGAAGTCGTTGAACAGCAAATTACGTGGGCTGCATACACATTTTTACAGCCTGTTGTTGGTTTTCAGTCAGTAATCTGGCTGCATGATGGTTTCTGCGCACCCCCTTTCCCTACTGATGCTCAGCTCGAAAGGCTACATCACCACCTGTGCGAATGCTATGGTTTCTCTCCCAACGATCCACCACTTCTGCACTGCGAACAACTGCATCCCAAGCGGACGGCCCTCCTTGCAAAGCTGGCGGCGGTGCCCTCGCCTTACAGAGGCATCCCTAGTGGAGCCCATGTTGCTCATCCGATGCCGCCACGAGTGCGCATTAGTCGCAAGCGCATCTACAAAGCTGCCGGCACTCAGGACCAGGTTTTGCTTGAAGAGCGTCTTGCCAAACGCGCGTGAACGACAAACCAGGCGAAGAGACGGCGTCTCCTGTGATTTGATCCCTCAGAGGCCCTAAACTGGCCTGGCACTGCTAGCAGGTTTGATTACTCGTTGGTTTCATCTATGCTGCTTTTTATCGCTTTTTTGTGACCTACTACAAGTTCCTCCTTTCTGAACTCCTTGTTAGGTTTTGGCTCAAGGTAGCTAGTGGAGTGATCGATATGCTTAGGCAGCATGGCCGCTGCCCCTGAAACGTTGAGTACATACCAGACACCAATTCGCTCTTTCCTCCCTATCCAGCAAGACTCACCTCCGTGGTGTGGTACTGCAGAGTGCGTCCAAGAAAGCACCGGAGCAATCGATGTATCAGCACACCTTCGTGAGATTGCCACGAAGCGACACAGACTGTACTGTATAGCCTGCACTATACCTTATGCTAGGCAGCATTTCCACCTACGCATTGCAGGTGTGCTCCCAGCCAGAAATAAGATGGTGGCTGACCTCTGCCCTGTTGACCCGCCGGTCTATCGCCTCATCCAAGTACCGAGTGCTTTCAACTTACATATGCCAAACTACGGGATGGAAGCATTGTGCATCCTCTCTCCCAAGCGAGAGGACAGCTACACATCACACTCAGTGGCATTCTGATCTCCGGTAACACAGCCCGCGATAGATACTTGGTTCACCAGCACTTGGTTGATCTCGGGCTTGCTGGTCCAACTGTCCCCATTCGCCAGTGGTCTAGTTTCGTACGAGAGCCTGCCACTTACCTCCCTGTTCTTCCTTTCCATGTGCTTACAGCGCTTCCGGCTGAACTGCTTGCTGTCCAATGTCCGACAATTAGCTGGGCTTTCGAGGCCTCCCCAGTTATGACCTTGGCAGAATGGGAAGCCTACCGTTGCCGACGTACGTCTACTGTTTACCCCTCACCCAATGGAGAAGAGGGTCTAGAGAATATAGATTCATGCGGTATCTACCATCCTGGCGTGTACAGCGTCTTTTGGAGTCCCCCTCGTGGTCCGGCTCGTTGGTCCGTGTGCTGCGATCTGTGCTCCGGGCGCTAAGGGGAGCACCGTGCCCCCTCAATGCCGTGTCGCAATCTCTGTCTCAAGAAGTGACCTGCCCTCTTCGTCAGAACAGTCTGTGCTCGACTGATGGCCCTCACAGCTCGCACAGCAGCAGCACAGAGTTGCGAGCACCTGACTCGCGCTGGCGTTAGAGACGGACACTGCCGCAGGAGTAAATAGTAACGCACCACGTTGGCAGCGACCCACTGTGCCTCTCAAAGGGTGTGTCCCCAAAGCATGTGTCCTTTAGTCTCAGTCTGGTGATTTAGTGATGCGACTGGTGCAGGTGTGGTGCCTGACGATGCCGGTAGAAGTGTACAACCTGTTCATTGGTGTGCTTTGCTGCCCTTTCTGAGGCCACGCCGTCCGATCTCACTTATTCCTTTCCAGTCCAATTTGTACGGTCGGTAGTAGCAAACTGAATTTCGTGTCACTGTAATTCTGTTACTATTTTGAAGTATGCTGCATTTGGCTCAAGGTGTTACCGGCCGTTTAGCTGCCCCGCTTTGTAACCTTCCTTAATCCATAGCGCCAACTGAGCACAGTTCACTGGAGCTAGCACCTTAGTGCTGGTCTTTGGTGAACTCTATGGCCAAGGATCGGTCAAGTGGCTCCCTGATGATCGGTTCTCAAGGAATCCAGTTCACTCCTTTTGCCGAAGAAATCTGCCTGCAGGAAGATTTTGAAGTCAGTTTGGTGCGACTCCCAGCCACAGTACACGAGATTACTTTTCCATTATGCCTGGTTGTTGCATGCGTTCCACGAAATGCCTCAGTGCGACCGCGCACAGGTGGCATTCCTGAATGGCCACTACAACAAGTGCCATGAGCCATGGCACAGAGTTCGGTCGACATGCCAAGTGGCCAGATCGTCTACCCTTTCGCTGATTCGCCTCACATCACAAAGGAGGGATTTATTCTCCATGGCTCCAACGTCTACCACCT